GGGCCTGGTGCACTGGGAAGACCCAGAGGGATCAGGTGGAGAGGGAGGTGGGAGGGGGGACTGGGATGGGGAATACATGTAAATCCATGGCTAATTCATTTCAATGTATAACAAAAACTGCTGTAATGATGTAAAGTAATTAGCCTCCAACTAATAAAAATAAATAAATAAAAAGCAAAAAAAAAAAAGAGTTAATTATCTTTTTTCTTAAAGTTAATTGATTAACTGGGTCTTTGTTGTTGTGCACAGGCTTTCTTTAGTTGCAGCGAGCAGGGTCCACTCTTGGTTGCATTGCGCAGGCTTCTCATTGCGGTGGCTTCTCTGGTTGCAGAGCACAGGCTCTGGCCTGTGGGGTTCAGTGGTTGCGGCACGCAGACTCATGAGCTGTAGCGGGCCCTAGGGTGCTCGGGCTTCAGTAGTTGTGGCACATGGGCTCAGCAGGTGTGGCGCACGGGCTTAGTTGCTCTGTGGCAGATCCAACCAGTGCCCCCTGCATAGGCAGGCTGATTCTTATCCACTGTGCCACCAAGGAAGTTCAAAAGTTAATTCTTTTAAAGAATACAAGAAATGAGAAAAAATATTATATATTTACCATTTTTGGCACTCTTGATGTAAAAGTTTCTTCTGGTATCATTTCCCGTCAGCATGAAAAATTTAACTATTTGTTGTACCAAGAAAGATCTGTTGGTGGGAAACTCTCAGCTCTTGTTTATCTGAAAATTTATTTTGCCTGTTAATTATTTATATATTAATTTTTTACTAAGGAGTTATAAGTAGTGGTAAACTTAACTGTGCTGGGTACTTAAAACATTTTGGCAGAGTATTGAAGAAATTCATTAGGAAAATTAAGTCTTGGCTATTTCACAGTTTGATTACTCTGCTTTTTTTCTTTTGATAAGTTAAATTTTATTTTACTGTTTATAACTAAAAAAATTTTTAATTTATGTGAAATGCATATTCATTGAAATGCATTTTACATGGACAGTACCCCTTTAACCACCACCATAAGAAAATACATAGTATTTTCATTGTTCTGGAAAGTTTTCCTCATATTCTATTCCAGTCAATCCCCTTGCCTCATAGGAGACCACTGTTCTTTTTTTAATTTTTTAAAAATAAACTAGAATAACGTTTATTTCTTTCGTAGACTGTTTATTGTACTTGATGTATTTGTGGGAAATCACGACCTCTGAAGGAACGCGGAGGTAAACTGCATTCTGAGCTGGCTACAGTCAGGTTGAGCATGGCACAGTTAAGCAGAAGCTTGCTTCTCTTTATAGGTTGCCATCATCTTCTTGATTTCAGCAATAGCTTTCCCAGGATTCAGCCCCTTGGGGCAGGTCCGCGTGCAGTTCATGATGGTGTGGCATCGGTACAGAGAGAAGGGGTCCTGCAGCTTGGCCAGGCTCTCCTCCGTGAAGTCGTCTCTGGAGTCGATCATCCAGTGATAGGCCTGCATGAGGACCGCGGGGCCCAGGTACTTGTCTCCGTTCCACCAGTAGCTCGGGCAGCTGGCACTGCAGCAGGTGCAGAGAATACACTCATAGAGCGCGTCCAGTTTCTCTCGGTCTCCTATGGACTGCAGATACTGCTCCTTGCCTCCCTGGGACTCATCCTTCTTCTTTAAGTAAGGCTTGATGGACTTGTACTGAGCATAGAAGTTGCTCAAATCAAGAACAAGATCCTTAGTCACATACATATGTGGGAGAGGGTAGATTTTGGAAACTTTGTTGAGGTTGGTGTCGATCCTGCGGGTACATGCCAGAGTGTCGCCTCCATTGATGTTCATGGCACAGGAGCCACAGATGCCTTCTCTGCATGATCTTCGGAAGGTCAAGGTAGAATCAGTTTCATTCTTAATCTTGATTAAAGCATCCAACACCATAGGACCACAGTTATTCAAATCAATCTCATAAGTCTGCATGTGAGGTTTGTCTCCAGTCTTGTCTGGGTCCCATAAACGGACGGCAAATTTCTTGATTCTCGGTGCTGCGGCTGCAGCTGTCTGGGCCCCATGGCAGGTCTGCAGGCGGGCCCCGCCGAGCGCTGCGGCCGGAACCGGCGCCTCAAGGAGAGAGCGACCACTACCGCCATCTTGGCTCCTGACGTCGAGCCCCACCCGTCGAGCCCCACCCCTCGAGCCCGACGTAGCGCTCCGCCGGGCCCCATGCCAGGGCCCATCGAGGCTTCGCTAGCTGCGGCTCTTCTTTCTTTAAAAAATACTTTATTATTGTTTTGGTTCCTCTGGGTCTTCTTTGCTGCACATGGATTTTCTCTAGTTGCAGTGCCGGGGCTTCTCATTGTGCTGGCTTCTCCTTTTGCAAAGCACAGACTATAGACCTGCGGACTTCGGTAGTTGCAGCACATGGGGTCACTAGCTGTGGCTCGCAGGATCTTGAGCTCTGGCTCAGTAGTTGTGGTGAGCCCGTGTCCCCTTCATTGGCAGTTGAATTCTTAACCACTTTACCACCAGGGATGTCCGGAACCACTGTTCTGGTTTTTATAATGGTAAATTAGTTTTGCCATTTTTTGATCTTTGTATAAATGAAGTCATACAGCATGCAGTCTTTTGCATTTCATCCATATGTGAGAATATATGTAGTTTTTATTGCCATGTAGTATCCCATTATCCTAATAAAGATATAGATTATTTTCCTTGCTCTAGAAAAGTTCCCCCAAGGCCTCATCCAGTCAGTCCCTATGCCTTCGTAGGAAATCACAGGTCTGACTTCTATCACTGTAGATTAGTTTTGCCTGTTATTAAACTTCATGTAAACAATATCATACAGCATGCAGTCTTTTAAGTCTGACTTCCCCCCCCCCCAACCTAATGCTTTTGAGGATCATCAGATACGTGTATTATGAATATTTTATCCTTGTCTGTGTCTTGCCTTTTTATTTTGCCTTAGAGCCTGCCTGGAGTGTTGTCTGAGGCCTTGCCCCCTGGCTATTTTTGAGTGTAAGTTTTGTCTTGTAAGACTGCCAAAAAGGATGCTCATTTCTTTAGAGGGTTTTTTTTTTTTTTTTTTAAACTTTCTAACCTTTTTTTAACTTTTTAACCTGAGGATGCTTATAATTTAGTAAATCTTACTTACCAGAAAAGTGGCATTATGTTTGAGATGCCCTAAATTTCATCAATAGCATTATGAGGCAAATGGTAGTATAAGGCAGAGTAGAATTAAATACAAAGTGATTGTTGCAGAGAATCATAAGAGAACAGAAAAGAATTGTGTTTTTCCAGGACTTCATATATGAGGGACTTTAAGCCTTTACAGCTTAAAATCCAAGTCATCGTTTGGCTTTATCTCTCCCACATTTCAAAATGGAATGTGATTAAATGCTAAGTAAGTCACTCAGATTTTTTGTTTTGTTTCGATACTCTAATTACAGTAGTTTTGGAAAAGCAGTTTGCCAGTGAGCTAAGTCTGAAGAACTGATGCTGGACACTAGAGAGGAGCATTAGTTCACTCTCTTTATTATCATATACTTATTTAGGGGGAAATTTAGCTTAAGAGTAAAAAATGATGTTTATTGGCCTAATTTTGTATACTTATTTATATGCCTGTGGCATCAAAAGCAAAATTCCATTTGGTGTAGTTGAAAGTAAATGGAGAAGGTCTAACTTTAAAAAATATTAATTAATTTTTATTTATTTTAGTCTCTGCTGGGTCTCCGTTGCTGTGTGTGGTCTTTCTCTAATTGTGATGACCAGGGGTTACTCTCTAGTTACGGTTTGTGGGCTTCTCATTGTGGTAGCTTCTCTTGTTGCGGAGCATGGGCTCTACGGCTGGTAGGTTTCAGTAGTGGCGGCGTGTGGGCTCAGTAGTTTGGCACATTGGAATCTTCCCAGAGCAGAGATTGAACCTGTGTCCCCTGCATTGGCAGGTAGACCCCTAACCATTGGACCACTGGGCAAGTCTTAAAAAAAGTTTCATTTTTTAAATTTCTTTGCAACCCCATGGACTATACAGACCATGGAGTTCTCCAGGCTAGAATACTGGAGTGAGTAGCCATTCCCTTCTCCAGGAGATCTTCCCAACCCAGGGACTGAACCCAGGTCTCCCATGTTGCAGGCAGATTCTTTACCAGCTGAGCCACAAGGGAGACCCCTACAGTTCTTAGAGGTTGTCTAAAAACAAAAAAACATATCAGCCAGGCCTATGGTGGTTCCATGTGTGCTAAATGTGTCCATGACAGGATCAAGTTCCCTTTCCTTATCAAGGGGCAGAAAACCGATGTGTGAAATATTAAAAGCACAAGTACAGAGTCAGAAAGTGAAATTTTAACAAATGAAACTTTTTCCAGTGGTTAGGCATCTACCTGCCAATGCAGGTTCAATCCCTGCTCTGGGAAGATTTGGAGAAGGAAATGGCAACCCACTCTAGTACCCTTACCTGGAAAATCCCATGGACGGAGGAGCCTAGTAGGTTATAGTCCATGGGGTGGCATAAGAGTTGGACACGACTGAGCGACTTCACTTTCACTTTCAAGAACTGTAGGTCTCACAGTGCAAACTCCTTGGAGTCTGCCTGGGCAGATTTTTGTTCTTTCCCAGCATTCTTAGTATAAAGGTAAACAATTACCGGGGATCTTCTGGACATCCTGGTTCTGTTAAAGGCTGTATTGTAGGACAGCCTACAATGGTAAGTCAAACACTGGACTGTCCTGAATGCCTGTTGATACAGTCTCTGGAAGAGGAAAAAGAAGTGACAGTTTGCTCTTCTTGAGGAAATTGGGGAACAACCCAAGCCTTCCTGAGACTGTACTATACATACCCTTCTTTTTTTAATGTTAATACCTTGATGAAATTTTCAGGATTGTAGTGGAAAGGTTGAATGCTTTAGTTTTCTGGCTGTAGATTTAGACTCTAGTTCTGTCACCAAGTATTAACAGTTGAGCAACTGGATGTATGACTTGATCTCTTTAAGTTTTCTCATCAGTGATACTTTATCTTGTAAGGATGATGAAACATGAATTAATGTGCCCAAAATGCTTGAACAGTGAGAAATGTATTTGTATAAAAGTCATCCATTGATGCTTTCAACAAATATTATTAGAGTGGTCTACTTATGTGCCAGGCAGTTTGCTATGCGTGAGGTTATAACACTGGGTAGTCTATCCCTTCTCCAGTGGATCTTTCTGACCGGGGAATCGAACCAGCGTCTCCTGCATTGCAGGCGGATTCTTTCCCAACTGAGCCCTCATATTCATATTAATCTTAAATAGTTGATAGCATATTACACAAACTTTCTACAACTTATTTTTCTTCACTCAAGGATACATTCTGAAGTCTCTTCTTTGTAATTTATACAACAATTTTTGTAATTATATAGTACTGCTAGAGTATTTTTTAAAATGTAAATCTCACACATAGTGTTTTCCTCCAAACTAATGCTACTGCTAAGCAACAAACCACCCTATAGCCTAGTAATTTAAAACAACAATTACTTATTCTTATTCAGCCACTTGCTGTGAGTTGACTGATGTATGCTTCAAGGTACAGATCTAGTTGAACTTGGCTTCTTGATGGGCCCAGATAAGTCCTGTACGTATTCATTTTAAGATCCTCTTTAGGGGACTGCAGATAACCCAGTGATTGGGCTAACATTTGTGATGTTGACATAGATGTAAGGGAACAAGCAGAAACTCATGATAACTGAAGGCTTAGGCTCAGAATTATAATGCCGTATCTAGTTACACTCCATTTATACAACCAAGTCATAGATACAAGCCCCAAAGTTATCTTCCTACCGTTGGTCTTCACTGGTCAACCTATCAGAAATTTCAGTTTTTATTCTAATAATAAATCATTAAATTTGCACATTCCCCTTGCTTTAATACTCAGTTTATTAACTATCTTAAATATATGTATGTATTTAAACTATATTTCTTGTTTATTGTCTATATCCTCCCTTTACAATGCATGTGTAATGAAAGCAGAGTTTTCTATATTTATTCACTGTATCCCCAGCCCTAATCCGGTGCCTAGAATGTAGTTGATTCTCCATAAATATTTGTTGAGTGAGTGAATGAAGGCATGGAGTGAGATAGGGTTAGGGAGACCAATCGTTCATTAAATTTTTCCCTAGTAGCTTTTGTTGTTGTTGAGGTATACCTTTAGTAATACAGATAAATTTCAACAAAAGTATTCTCATGAAACCATAGCTCCGATTAAGATAAAGAACACATCTGTCACCCTAAGAAGTTCTTTCATATCTCTGACCCATCAGTTCTTCACCTCCAGAAGCAATTATTGTCCTCATTTCTATCACCATAGATCAGTGTTTTCTAGTTTTGAATGTCATGTATATGGAATCATGTAGCATATACATTTTGTATTTGCTACTTGAACTTAGTGTTTTTGAGATTTATCTGCATTGATGCATGTATCAGAAATTTATTATTATTATTATTTTTTTTTACTACTGAGTAGTATTGTCAGACATGACTTGGTGACTGAACAACAAGTATTATATTTTATGATTTCCTCTTCTTCGGCTCTAAAATCACTGTGGATTGTGACTGCAGCCATGAAATTAGAAGATGATTGCTTCTTGGCAGGAAAGCTATGACAAACCTAGACAGTGTGTTAAAAATCAAAGACGTCACTTTTCCAACAAAGGTCCCTATAGTCAAGGCTATGGTCTTTCCAGTAGTCACGTACAGTTGTGAGAGCTGGACCATAAAGAAAGCAGATGCTGAATAATTGAGGCTTTCGAATTGTGGTGCTGGAGAAGACTCTTGAGAGTCCCTTGGACAGAAAGGAGATCAAACCAGTCAATCTTAAAAGAAATCAACCTTGAATACTCGTTGGAAATAGTGATGCTAAAGCTGAAGCTCCAGTACTTTGGCCATGTGATGCAAATAGCCAACTCATTGGAAAAGACCCTGATGTTGGGAAAAATTGAAGGCAGAAGGAGAAGAGGGCAACAGAGGATGATATGGCTGGGTGGTGTCACTGATGCAATGGACATGAACTTGGGCAAACTCCAGGAGATGGTGAGGGACAGAGAAGCCTAGTGTGCTGCAGTCCATGGGGTCACAAAGAGTCGGACACAACTTGGTGCCTGAACAACAACGAGTATTATATAAGT